TAAGGGACTTTTTGCAAAAAAATTTGGTGTTTTCCCGCAACTTTTTCCTCGGTTTCTTCCGGCCTTCAAATTAGAGGGTACTTCAAATTAGAGGGTAGAGCGCCGTGTGTGAGGTAGCCTGGCGCCGTGAGGTAGGCAACCTGCCGCCGTGAGGTAGGCAACTCTCCCGGGCGCGCCGCACGCCCGTACGGCGGCTGGCCTACCCACCGGACTGCAGGCGCCATGGCCCGCTAGCCTGATGGGCCACGCGTACCTATGACGAAGAGGCAGCCGTGGTACGTAATGCACGAGACCCCCGAGCGCCTGGACCGCATCGGGGTGATGAGCGACCACTGGTTCGTGTCCAGGTCGTACATCTCCACCGAGTTCATGCACTCCTGACCGTTGAAGCCGCCCGTGATGTAGATGCGGTCTGGCGGCAGAGGAACACGAGGAAGTCGAGACCAAAACAGTGAATATCACCCGCGGCCACTCCCCCTCAACAAAACAAATTTAAAACAGAATTTTTTGGTTTCACGCAGCAGGTTGTCTGACCGTTAAGCGTGGTGGCGCTGGCGTCCGACCGCTGCATGATCATGGGCGCGATGAGGGACCACTGGTTGGTGCGGTGGTCGTAGCGCTCGGCCGTGTTCTGGCGGTGGTGGCCGTCGTAGCCGCCCATGGCGTACACCAGGTCGCGCAGCACCGCCACGCTCACGTAGCACCGCCGCGCGTTCATGGGCGCCACCTCCCGCCAGGTCTTGTTGACGGCGTGGAAGCAGCGGCACGAGTTGAAGTAGTCCATGCCGTCGAAGCCGCCGATCACGTAGATGTTGAAGCCCACGACGGCCGTGCCGTGGTAGGCGCGAGCGCCCGTGGGGTCCACGTCGTCGACCTGTGGCGGGGAGACGAGGCGAGAGGAGTGTCGACAGAAGCCAGCGGTACGTCACCCCCATCCCCATCGTCTCCTTTGGCCACCCACGGCCCCCGCGCACCTTGACCCAGCGGTCGGCCCGGGTGTCGTACGTCTCGATGAAGTTGGTGGGGCTGCCGCCGCTCCAGCCACCGATGGCGAACAGGATCTCGTGCGGCACTCTGTAACGACACCACGGCGTCAGAGCGTATTGCCCTGAACTAACCAACTTTAGTGTCATCGGCTGATCCGAACACACACCTCGGTCGAGCGATCTCGGGCGTGGGGATCTCGCCGTCCTTCTGCGTGATCATCTCCAGGTCGTACAGGAACTTGAGCGTCTCGATGATGACGGGCCGGCAAGCCTCGTTGCCCGCGACGTACGGGTGGTCCTTGACGTTCTCGAGGAAGAACTGTGTCTCGAGGAGGCCGAGCCGGATGCTCCTCATGAGGGTGACGATGTGCTGCTTGCGGGCCTCCGGGTCGCAGTTGACCCAGCGCAGCGCGCACTCCCACACCGCCTCCTCCGACTTGACGTTGAGCTCGTCCGCGGCCAGCATGCGCGCCAGCTCCTGGAGGTCGAGGTGGAGCAGCTCCTCGCTCTCCTGGGCCACCTGCACGAAGTGCCGCATCACGTACTGGTGTGCCTCCCCCTCGAGCGCCGTGCAGAAATGGTCCCTGCGCGAGTCGAGGTAACGTTTGAGGTGGCGACTCTTTGAGGGAATCCAAAACTGTACTGGGGGGGGGGAGCAAGGCTTGCCTGGCGAACATAAGGATACCGATGCAGTTGTCCGGCGCCATGTTCGTCTTGAGAAATTCGCAGCACATGTCCAGGACGCCAAGCACGCACAGGTAGTCAGCCGTAACCAGCAGCTTTGTGTGTGAGAGAAACGACCACAGTGGTTCGACATTGCTTCCAATGCGCTTTGAGGCACTCTCAAACGACGCACACCTGGCAGACGTTGCAGCGAGTAATCTCCAGAGATCTCAAGTACGCATACTCCAAGATGAGGGTCATGGTGTCGCTGGTGACGCCGTGCAGGAGGATATCTGTCATCTCCCGGCAGTGCAGCGTTGTGGTGAACAGCGCCCTGAAGAAGAAGACTTCACTAGGCGCCTAATCCGAGGCAGAGAGACTCCGCCGTGGCGAAGCGGCGGACCTCTACCTGAAGTACGTTGAACAGGCCGAGAGGATGGCCCGGTGGATGGGGAACACGCCGCCGTCCTCGAGTCGGAGCACGGCGTCGCACAGGAGGTTGTTCTGGCGCAGCTCGTACAGCGACTGCATCGCCTGGGCGCTCATGGAGCGTCCGTTCTTGGTCAGCAGGCGGCGGCCGTCGCCCGCGTTGGCCGCGCAGTCCAGCAGCAGCCCGCCGCCGCCCCC